TATAATTTTTAGCCTCTAGCACGAGTTATAGTGCATTTTATTTTAGTTTTATGTTTCTATTTTTGTCAAAACTCTCGTACTTAATAGTAGATCATTACTCTGTATAATTAGAAGTTTTCGCCTGATTAGCAGGTTTTCTTCTTTTTAGCGATAGTTTCTTTTAGATTTTTAGTTTAGTTTTTTATATTCCTTAGTATTAGTATTTGTTTTCTTTGATGTATTTGTTTTTATTACATACCCTTTTTTTTGTTCCCTATTATCACTTTTTTTTTTTTTTCTTCTTTACGAGAAAGTGGCATCAGTTTGGTAGCATTCTATTGTAGAGTGGGAATCTTGACAGAGCAAGCAACAGTTAGCCGAGGAATCTGGTGAAAATAAGTCTGGAGTGAGTTCCAGATTTCTGGAGGAGGTTAAGTATTACTAGGCAGGTCACATCTAGGCAAAACATAGTGGTTTAATAGTTTGCTCTGACTGCAAGTGGATGTTTCGGCATCTGCGAGATATGCTTTAAGTGAGTTTACTCTTTGGTTAGAACACTATAGATTTAGATTTTTTTGTAGAAATAAAGTCTGTTTTTATAATAAAGTAAACAGAATTGCTGAAGGAAAAAAAAAATTATACAGAATTCGATTTGTACGAATATTATTAGTAATCGATTGTTGATTATTAATCAACAATCGATTGAAGTAGCCAATTTGACTTGAATTCAGCTATCGAATTTATACCAAATATTATTGGTAAGGAGTTGTCAATTATTAGTATTCAGTGGTCAATTATAAGTTGATTTATTATAATTAATTGACTACCAAATGAAATAACTGAATCAACCTGAATTTGGCCATCGAATTTATACCAATTTTATTCTGAATTTTATAAGTATTCAGTAGTCAATTATAGTCGATTTATTGTAATTAATCGACTACCGAATAAAATGGCTGAATCGATCTGAATTCGGCTATTGAATTTATATTGAATTTATTCTGAATTTTATAAGTATTCAATCATCGATTACAGGTCGATTTTATTATGTCAATCGGTTGTTGATTAAAATTTTCGATCTGAATTCGGTTGCTGATTTTTTATTAGCATTTAACTGTCTATTAGCTACCGATTTACTCTATCATTCAGTATAATATTAGCCAAATATTCGATGATTGAATTTAGATCGATTTGGTCATTTCATTTAGTAGTCGAATTTCTTATATTTGACTAGTATATACAGTATAGGTGCTAAATAAGATTAGTTGAGAAATAAAATCTGGGTAATATATAAGTAAAACATATTATCTTTGATAGATATAAAATATAGATAAAATAGTCTAAGCTCTAAAATTATATAATTCAAAAATATATACAATTATATATAAAATATATATATAATATAATATACAATTAAGATTGTAGTAACTTAATGAAGTGGTTAAGTTATTGCACCCCAAGTAGTATGTTAGCAGATTGAGATTCAAAACTACCAATAATAAAAATTTGAAAATTCACTTATATGATGACTATTATCTTTTAACAATTAGTTGAAACAGGATCTCTGCAACCTTAGTAATACCAACAAGATTGAAAGATTGTAAAGCATTCATGCAATATATAAATTATATAAAGATATACAAACCAATATTAGTTGATGTAAACCTAAAATAAAACTTTAGAGAAAATTACAAATAAGGCCCAAAAATAGAAATAATTACAAAAAAAGGCCCAAAATAAAAATAATTATAGATAGAGACCTGATATTTGAAAATTATTACAAATAAGAGCCTAAAATAAAAATAATTATAGATAGAAACCTGATATTTAAAAATTATTACAAATAAGAGCCCAAAATAATAGGAACCTAAGATATAAAGGGAAGGACAGAAATCAGGTGATTTCAAGTTACTAAGAGGCTATACTCCCCACCCCTACCTGATTCAAATATTAGTCAATTAAATTTAACTACAAAATATAGGACCTGATTGAATCACAAACCCCCATCACCTAAAAAATCAGCTAATTTCTGTCCCTTCCCTAAGCTTCATTTGATGATTTTAATATGATTGTAATATAGTCATTAATTGTTAATGCATAAGAAATGTAATAATAATTCTTATAATAATATTATCTGACTGATCCTTCACATGGTATACAATATATAAAAATTATTTTACAATATCATATCAAATGATCTGGTATTGTAAAATAATTTTTTTATATGTTGCAACAGTTTTTTCTAATATAAGCACCATTTTAAATATAAAATTACCAATTGGTATGAATTTTACTACCATGAAAATGCTTATTTAGTCTTGGACAATATTTTTTTTTACAGGTTTAAAACAAACAAACAAAATAATCTGTTGGCTATTTTTTACAAATAAAACCAGTTTATGTCCTTTTACTATTTCAGTTAACAAGTGCTAAAATAGATATATTTATATCGATATAGTAAGGCTGATTTCCCATAATCCAACTTGTTTAACTTCTATGGAATGTTTAAAGTGCATAGATCATACCTTGTAAAGCATTAGTTAAAAATATAACTTTTACCTCATGATATTATAAATCGTGTTTGTTCTGAAGTGGGCTGAAACATCATACATTGTAGCTTAAAGAAGTAAAGCTATTAAGCCACTTATAGTTAATTTTTCATTTTGTATTGCAGGATTTCAAAAATCTGTTAGTCAGTTAGATTTTATTTTTTAATTCTGAATAATGAGCTATAACTCTAAAATATTTATTTAATCACGAAATGAAGAAATTAATCATGTTACCACTACATTTAAATTGGCTAGTAAATTCAACAATATAGTTGGACTCTTATTTGTAAAAATTTTAAATATTGAGCCTTCATCTGTAATTATTTTCATTTTGTGCCCTTATTTGTAATTATTTTCATTTTTGGGCTCTTATCTGTAATTTTTTCAAAACTTTATAATTATAAAAATCTAGAAAACCAAACAGATAGATGCCTACTTGACAAAACTCAAGTAGAAAAGTAGCACAAACTTTTAACAGTAGCTACTGTAATAAGCTTTAACTGAGGCTGATATAACTAGACAAGAACTAGATATTTGAAAAGAAGATACTCCACTAATTAAACCATCAAAATGCTGAAAAAAAAGGATCTGCAATGCAGATATCAAGAGACTGGTATTCCATCTAAACTATCTGAATTGGTAGTCTGAGAAAACTAGCTAAGAAGTACTAAAAAGAAAAGTATTGGGTTGTTTTAAAAAGAAGGTACTGGGTTTGAGTAAACTCTACAAGAGCTGAGTAGGTAATGATAGTGACTTCAGCTTGCAAGTACTTGTTCTTAGACTCATGTAAGTTACTGAAAAAAATTAAATATTACAGTAATAATAAATACTAAACTGCTCTAGCAAGTGATACACTTGAGAATAAATTAGTTAACCATGCCAGTAGTTCTATAGGTAGCTGCAACGATCCTAAAACTTGAACTGACTAATGTATTACATGTTCTGAGTGAGGTTAGATGGATTGGCATAGAAAACTCAGATTAGAAGGTTTAAATAGAGGATCCACAGGTGGATCTTAGATATTGCATATGGAGAGTAACTATAGATAGAAATAGATATCTTAAATAGGCAATAACTAAAGTTGTACGTGTATCCATATGTATCCTCGTCAGAATATACTTGTCTGGAGCCCCCTTAAAAAGGCACCACATGATCCTACAGTCTAATAAAAGTGATAAGCCGAAGAGGCTAACCTTGACTATAAAAAAAAATAAATAAAATAAAAAATACGATATACAATTAAAAAATAAAAAATTCAGAGCAAGTCTCCACCTTAACACAAAAAAATTAGATGATTTTTTTTTTCAACTTGAAAATTCTTTAATACTATCTATTCAATTTTATTTTATGAATTTGTAGGATTGAATGATTTAATTTAATTAGATATTTATCAAAAAAATACTTGGATAAAAAATTCACAGTTTATTTTTAAATTATTTATTACTAAGGGAGACAATACTAGAAGGAGTAGAGTGTGAACCATATTTCCGTGCGTTTATTTTTATATGTCAATAATGAGACAGAAGTGATCGTTTGATAATAATGCTGTCGTATATAAAAAAAGTTCTAATAAGTAATTTTATTGGAGGAAACCGCATTCGAATTAAAATTGGCAATGAAAAAAAAGTTTACAAATGAACGCAAAAAAGTGGAAGTCTATTTCAATCTTAAATGCATATAATGAATCCCAACTAACTCTGAAGAATCGCTATTAAAAATATTTCGGACCTCTATCCAAGATGAAATTATAGTCTTACAATAAAAATAGATAGCACCGTAATAAGGAAGGAAATAAGGATTATATATGCGATCTGTGTTAATTTTAAACAAAATCAGATTTATTAGTTTAAAGAAAAGCAAAAAAAAAAAAAGAAATACATTAAAAAAAGAAGATACTAACAAACTCTATCACCACTTTTATATTCCTTTTGTATTATAAGGTCATCGTTATCAACAGTTTTTCTTGTTAAATAATAGACAACTAAAAGTGTAGTTAACAGCGAATATGATGCCAAAGCAAATATATGAAGTTGCCAATTGGTCCATTTTCTAAATTTCATGAATCTATTGGGAATAGTTAAAAGATCTATACGTCGCTGTTCATTGAAAAAGTAGCAAGCGAGAAAAAATGGAGAATTCCATAGTGCGGTGAATAAACCAGGATAACCATGTCTATGACATTCCTTATATAAAAGCAATGCTAATATTGAGGTAAAAATAAAATATATCAGAGCCCCACCAATCAAGCACCAAGACAAAATTGATGTTGCGCACACATCAAGATTTGGTTGTTGAAACTCTGATTTGCAACCGTCAAAAAAAAGAACGGCATAAGGACGTTTACCACCGATATTATGTGAAGCTAAAGTTACGAGATGATAACCAAAAAGACCAACACTACTAATAAATAACTTTAAATAAAAGATTTTTAAATTTCTTATGGAGTTTTAAAAAAGTAAAGAAAAAAAAATTTTAAGAACTTACTTCCCAAAACGGAACAACACGAGAAAGAATCTCCTGTTGTGGAATTACGCGACCAATATCAGATGTTCGTGATTGAAACCCGTTCAAATCTCTGTCAGTAACATTACTGCCTTGGTTTTTCCCAGTAACAGGAGCAGTTGTCCAAAACTCGGTTGCGAAGTCAGGCTTCATTGAAATAAAAGGTAGTTGTTTAAAATGAAAATTAATAGTTTGGGTTTACTGTACCAAAAAACTGTTTAATACGTTTTTAAAACTATTTATTTAATAATTTTCAAACAAACTATATTTTAATATTTTTTAAAAATTTTATAGGTATTGACAATGCTGTGATTAAAAGCTTATAGATTTAAATGGTTTGTTTAAAAAAAAGCTAAAAATATTTTTGTAAAGCAATAGTTTTTTTTACATTTCTTGTGCGATAAAATTTTTTTCATACGTAGAACATTACTATTAAAAATACATCACAAAAGTGTATTTAATTTAGTCGCAAAAAAAGCCAAAAACTCTACATATAAAAAAAAATTTTTATTAATAATATTAAAATAAATGATATTAAACTATTCTATACTTTGTAATAAAATCTTTTTTATATAAAAAATATTTTTATTTTTTTAAAGTACACTTTAGTACAAAGGTGTAAATCCAATCCATTAACAAATAGTTATAGAGTAATAAAATTACCTTGAACGATCATGTTATGCCTATCAGTGGTTATCGGGGCGTCTCATGTCGTTTAGTTACAAACACGGTGCAGATAATATAGCGATGATCAATAATAAAGATTTTAATAAGCAATTGTAAATATACATAGTCATATAAAATTCAAACTGCAATATCTCTCGAACCAAATAAACTTACATTTTAACCAAAAGTTTTACGATAGTAATTAAATTTAATGTGTGACTACATACGGATATAAGTTTAGTTCCTATTCGGGTATAGTTTATGCTTCTACGTATGATCCCCATAAAGTTTTTGATCGAATATTGTCAAACACTCGCCACGTATATTCTTTTTTTAGCAGGACCTAATCGAAAAAAAACTCGCGTTTTTTTTTTTATATACCGATACTGTATTCTAAGTCATAACCAAAATCGATTGTAATCAGTGCTAGCCGATGACCTAAATCATAACATTTTTTGACATGACCTTGGTCGTATAATCACGACATTTTGGATAAATCACTATTAATAAGAAAATTTTTACGGATTCTTACTAGATTAAAAAGGTCATAAAAGTCGTATCAACCTTCCAAATTGTAGTCGTAATTTTAATAGTGACAGTAATAATTTAAAAAAAAATAAAATATTAGTCCATCTCATGTTTATTTACTATTTTCACTCGTTTTTTGTATAGGACTTTTTTTACCAGACAGTTTGATAATCACAAGCGTTAAAAGCCATAACGAAAGAAAAGCCATAACGAAAGAATTTGTTAATCCTTCCTAAACCTATATCAGGTAAAGTGACCATTAAATTGGTACGTATGACGTACGTACGTACGTATTTATTGTAATTCCAGAATTCTGAAACGCATCTCATACATGCGTGCAATTATGCGTGCGCATAGTTTGAGTATGGTGTGCACATAGTGTGTTAAGTTCGGAGTTTCATGGTTATTTCGAATTGCGGATAATAAATATGTGCAATAAATATATGTTATTCAGTATGCTGATCAAACCATGCGGATCATATAACCGTGAAACTACGTGCATCATGCAGCAATGGCATGGTTATGGTGCCCATCTCTAGTAGTGACAAGGCTTCGCTTCGCTCAGCCTTGTAATCAAAAAAAAGAAACCCGTCGGATTTGAACCAATTTAGAGAACAACGATAATTTAGCGTTAGGCTGGTTTTAAATATCTATATAGTAGTTAATCATATTAAGCAAAGCACGTCCGTTTATAAATCACATGAGTTTTATAACCACATGATAGAAGATCAAGCTGTATTACAGTCTAGGAATATACCAAATTTGGACATCGATGATCGCACCTTATTTAGTAACGATCACCAATAAAATTATTCTAGGACGTTCTTTCAATTTGATCTAGAACGTTATACTGCAACAAATAATAGTACGTGCGTATTAGCTTTAAATT